CCTCCATAAAAAAAATCCCCAATTTCCAGCTCCGATCCTATGCCCGAGAAACGAAAACGCACATTGACCTCTGTCTTCCACCGACGAAATCAATGGCGATTCTCCGGTCTCTCACTCTCGATTCGGTGGAAAACTCTTCCACCGACGGAATCAGCGGCGATTCTCTGATCTCTCTTTCTCTCTCGATCCGGCGAAAAACGAGGTAAATTCTCTGATTCTCCTGCTCGATGATAAGGTTCTCTCTCTTTCTCTTTCTCACTCTCTTGCAAGCTTTCAGTCTTTCTCTCTCTCATGCGCGCGTGAGCTGTCTCTCTGGCGGCCGTTGGAGCAAGTTGCGGCCAAGCTGGAGAAGGCAGAACTCAAATTGTGTAAGTTCGGGTAGTAGGGTTTCGAAGAATTGAGTGTTTGTGGATAGAGTGTTTATAAATTAGGTCAAGTCTGAAATACTTCAGGCCTGTTCGTTCTTTATTTACTGTGAAGCCTAGATTTTATTAGTATGGATAGAAGATGCTTGGCGGCGGCGGCAGCATTAGCAGTAGTGCCAGTGAAGGAGGAGGGAGCAGAGGATCCGGCTTGGGTTATAGATCGAGGATCCTGACTATGTTGTTCTCGATGTTCGCTAATTTTGCTTGAATTTACGTCGCCGCCCGGTAACGCCCCGATGATGCACACACCCTCTCTCTCGGTAAATCGCTCTCGCAATTTACTCCGGTGAATAATTGCATAAATTTTGGGTTTCGATTGTTCTCTCAATTGGTTGGTGGATGTTAGGTTATGGCAGAATTCGCAGCATAAGGTTTATTTTATTAAAGAGCTCGACCGGATTACTTGGCAGGTTAGGCATTTTTGGTTTCTTACTGCTGCTCAAATTTCGAATTTCCTCTGCTGCTAATAAGATACATGAATGTTTGTTAAGTGGTAGGCAATGAAATCTAATTGGATGGACAATTATAAGTTGAACACCACTGGATAACAATGTTGCAGCTGTGAAAACAATGTTCATTGTAACCTATTCTTTCTGTTTAATCTCTTCCCCCCCCCCCCCTTGCTGCACATTCTTCTTCTGATTACGGATACATATTTTTCTTCTCTGGCTTCTCTCCACAGTGTTCCTAACTTGAAGATCCAACTCTGTTTCAGCTCATCTACTGGATTTTGGGGTGTTCCATTTTGCTACAGACTTGCTCCACCTTTACTTCAGAAGGTATGATCAAGAGTTTGCGACTCCAGAAACCTATGAAATTGTGATTCTACTTGTTGCTTCTCTAACTCAGCTGATGCTTTCTGTGTACAGGAACAAGAATAAGTCTAACAAACAAGAATTTGCAAAATCCTCCTAACTAAATGGGGGGAGTGGTTTAACAGATTTGTATTTGTTACTCTGACCCGGATCCACTACTGCAGCATGTACTTTCTTGTACAGAAACCAGTCTATTGCAAGGTCCAAGCCACTTGCCATTTTGTTGGTGGGTGGACTCATGGCTACCCTAGTGCATTCGGAGTCCAGGAGGCTCTAGTCTTGGTGGTGGTATAGTCACATCTCCAAGAACTCCAAATGGCTTCAGGACAATCTCACAGGTCCTTGCTTTACTCATTTTCTTTTAGATCTTTTTTGACTTACTCTTTTCTCAAGTAGTTCCACTCCATAGTTCATTCTTTGCTCCACTTTGCAGTTTTGTGGGCCTCTTTTGTCGGAAGCAAAAGTGAATCATTATCATATGTTGTGCAAAAGTAGGCAAAGCATACAAGTTATGGTCCTTTTCTGAAGCTCATTTTCTTGTTCACTAGTCATATGGTCCTTTCTTTCATTTATCTGACTTAGCTTGCTGAATCAGTGGACCAGTCTTCTTCAAAGATATATTATAGAGAGCTTTCATCAGGGGACACATTTTTATGTACTACAACAGATTTTTAAAGATTGCCTGAAGTAATCAAAGGTAAGCCTTATGAACTTAAACTCTAGGAGATTATGAAGAGTGGAATGTTACTTAACAACAATACTTAAAGTTTGGAAACATTTTTTACTGTTATTTCTGAAATGTGGATCTTATAGGAGAGGGAGTAGTAGTAGGTTGTGGTCCTTCTGGGAATCTTCTGCTAGTTGTATGTCTATATTAATGAAATGATGGTGCATACAAGTTATGGTCCTTTTGAGAATATGATCCTACCTCTTATTGCGTTGCAACAACATTTGTTGAAAATAAGTTCGGCACATGTTCAGATTTGTTAGTTGTTGGAAGCTCATCTTAATCATTATTAGTCAGTGTCTTTATAGCATTTCCACATTTTTGTTCTCGACCTCTTATGCTAGCCTCTAGAATAATCCATCAAATTCGAGTAATAATCTCTATCCTGATATTTTGGTTGATTCTTTGCTTAGCCTGCGCATTTGAACAAGTGATCAAGCAACTTTCTTCTCTAGAAAGAATTTAAGATCTTCAAATGGGATTTGTACAGGTATTAAGTATTTGGCAATTCATTTTGCAGAGTGTATCATAACTTGTAGCAGCATTACTAACCCAATTAGCAGGATTTAGAGTTTTTCTATCTCAATTTTTACTGATGCTTCTGTATTTGTGCATGGAATACAACAGCTCATTCTATGGATTCTCCTTAGTGCGTTAGAAGCTGCAGAGATGCAGAAGCGAAAGCAACAGAAGATGCTAGGCAAATAATGGAGTAAACCGTGAAGCAAAAACTTCTTTCGAGGATGGAAATGATGATATTGATGGGGAAGAACATGTTAGAACATAGACTATTTAGAATGTTTAACGAATGATTTTGGTTTTATATTTTCTTAAGATTATAAATCATAGAATTTGTGGTGGAAAGAATTATTTGTGTTGTACAACCATTTGTAGGTCTTTTTATATAATAAAGTTAATACTAGCCAATAAGGGACTCTCATCGAACCTATGTTATCCTTGGAATGTTTCTCTAGCAGAAAAACCAATTACCTGGATTTCTTTTAATTTTAGCGGCATGTAGCAAGGGTTTCCAACCCTTGCTACATGTAAGTTACCATTAGCGACGGATTTTCTAGCGACCGATATTGTTTTTTAGCGACCGATAACTGACATTGATTTGTGTATATTTTAGCCATCTGTAGCAAGGGTTTTAACCCTTGTTATGTTTAGCAATGGTTATAACCTTTGCTACGTACCCTTGCAAAGGACTTCCACCAAGGGTTGCCTAAAACCCTTGCTATATGTAGCAAGGGCGGCTTTGCCAAGGATCGTTAGCAAGGGTTGGGTAACCCCTGCTACTACCTGTAGAAAGGGTTAAAACCCTTAATATAAGTTTAAAAAAACCCTTGTCGTAGGCACATTTTTTTGTAGTGTATTAATGCCACAAATTGCCAACTTCCCTCACAATACTCATTACTCATACCACGAATTATCAAAAGGAAATTGGCAAAGTATAAACTCAACAGACAGCTCACAACCAAAGGAATAATGTCAGACTTGAGCAAAATTTAAGTATTAAGATCCACAATATCAAATTTGGCTTTCTTTTGAATCGCTCACAACATATATTGCACCCTACCTTCTAAGCAGCTCCACCCCTGATATATGATCAGTCCCTCAATTTAGGGGCGGACTCATGTGTTAGGGTGACACAGCTCAGCTTGAATATTTTGTGAGAGACTTATGTTTCGTTGGTATAAATTTTTTGAATTCGAGAGCTCTGACACACCTCCGATAATTGTAATCGACATACCTTCATTACACTACAATAAATTTGGTATCATAAAATTGTCAACATACATAAATATATATTAATTTATGAAAAATTTGAGATTATTTTCATTGCTTTAGCACTTGGACACACTGGTTTATTATTTAGTTTCGTGTCTTCTAGTTCCTTTGAGATTTCAAAGACTTGCCAACCTAGTGGCAAAAAATGCTCTTTCATCGGAAATCAGGTTCCATACATTGTCAATCTTCTAAAAACCAATAGTGTTCACTTTACCTCTTTCGATCCCACTTCTCGTTTCTTATTGAATAAAATGAAAAATATCCCCAACTGACTAAAAATTCTGCATATCTCCATACCCCCTTTAAATTGACATTTTTTCTTCTCCTTCTATGTTCGAATGCCAAGTGTCGCGAGGGAAAAATCTACAACCCTTGCCTCACAGCTCTCTGCCCTTCGCTCCACCCTCCAATTGTCGGCGCCTAGGCATCGGAGCCCCAATTCTCGTTGAACTTCCACTCTTCCAGATTCTCATTTTAGCTTCTTCATATGAAGTTACTATTGGCGTTATCTGTTGCAAAAGAGCCTTTCATGTTATGAAGTTTATACAGAATGATATTCAAAATCGAGTTTATGAATGACTGCTTGGTTGTGTATATCCAAAAAAGTTTGATCGAACATAAGTGAAAAATATATTTTACAAAAATTTTTGAATATGAAAGTCCTTGTGGTTCGCTATAAAAATAATTTTATTTTATTTATTAAATATTTTTTTTATCAACCGACACACTTGTAGAAGAATATTCTGCCCATTAAAGGAAAGGCAACAATGTATTCTGCGGAGCGGCGATCTGACGTAGTAAGCAAACCCTAGCGCCACCGCTATGAATGGATTCGCCTGCACCGAGGGTGCCGCCCCCGGCCGGTGGGCTCAATAATCATAATGTCGGGAATCGTAGGCCAGCCTTAGCGTCGTCCTCACCTAATGGAAAAGGAGCTAACGAAATACAACAACTAAAGAAGCGTGCTAAGCCAACAACGAAGAACCAGCTTTTCGAAGTGTCACTTATGAATGAAGATCATGCCTCTCCTCACTCCGGGTGAACGAGGAATCTGACCGGCAAAAGGAATCATCGTGGTTGAAAGGTACAAGGAATCTTTTCAATGACCTACACAGTCAGGACGATTGATAGGTCGCGGAATCCGACTCAGAGGATATTGCAGCTGCCATGCGCGAAGACGACCTTGATGACGTGGTCCTAGAAGATGATAACCCTCGATGCACTAACATCCCTTTGAAAGCAATGGAGAAGCAACGGTGGAGAGGTGAATGGCGTTCAACCCTTATAGTCAAAGTGTTGGGACGTACTTTCCCCTTCCCAATCATCGCATGCCGCCTCCAAAGCACCTGGGGAAAATGCGTCATGATGAAAATCTCTAGCTTAACCTATAGTTTCTATGTCGTTAAGTTCACGAGTCATTTTGATTATGAGAAAGCGGCTTCAGGACGGCCTTGGCGAGTAAGGGATTATTACCTTACGTTTAGGCCGTGGCGAAAGAACTTCAATCCCAAACTTGCAGTAGTATCCTCAACAATGGTATGTCCAAAACTACCTGGGATTCCCCTCAAATTCAACAACAGTGATGTCGTGAAACGTATTGTGTCATATATCCGTAGGCCTATCAATGTTGATGGGCAAAGCAGAACGGATATCGCGGGCAATATACCCGTATTTGTGTGGAGGTTGATCTAACCAAATCTCTGCTCTCATAATAAAAGATTGGAGGTATCGCCTACTATATTGAGTTTGAGGGCTTGTTCAACATCTGCATGGAATGTGGTTGTTACAGAAATTCTAAAGTTGTTTGTCCCTCGCTTGCCCGCCCGACGTCTGTGCCAACAGACCCGACACAGTCCCCTCCATCGGAACCTAACCCAGCGCCCACGTATGGCAAGTGGACAATGGCCAAACCACGACGGAAAAATGGGGAAAAAATAATCTGCTATGTCAAACGACAGACAAACAATGGATAGCGGTAGTGGATCACGTTTCCACGCATTAGAAACGGATGTGGAGGAGGAGGAGATCCCTCTAGCTGCATATATAGTAGCTCCGAGTGAAATGGAGGTTGAGATGGAGACGAAGGCTCAGAACCATACATGTTTTGATCTCCCTTCTCCTATGGAGACTTTGCTGCCCCTGGAAGTGGTTGACAACAAGGTCGGGAATCTCACCAGTACCACCACTAAAACATAGGCCACTAAAAAAGCAACCTCGGTGCCCACAAAGACAACAATGGTGTAGGTGGGAATGACACGAAAGGAAAACCTCCCAGTTACCAAGCAAAGCAATCCCACTGTGAGTATTTCCCCCCTACCAAAACCAACTAAGGGCCATCGGTAAAAGGAGGAGCAAGTGCAGTGTCCTGAAACATCGACAAAGAATGGCCGTAACGGGAAACCATTAAATAATACTGGGCAGCCTCGGGGTCCCCGGGAAGAAAGGGCATTTCTAGCAGAAAGAATGTCAACATGGAGAACAATGCCAGGAGGGAAACTAAACAACCCTCTACAGCTCAGCACAATTCTTAGTTGGAGCATCCAACCCTTAGGGAAGCTTCCCTCCTTGTTACTTTCTCTACTTTTATATATATGTTAAACACTCTAGCTTGGAAATTTCAGGGGGCAGGAGGTGACCTTTTTCTTGAGTATTTATCTACTTTTGTTATGAATAATAGGCCGGACATGGTCGCCATAGTGGAGCCGAGGATCAGTGAGGGCACAAACTCGGTGATCTTGCATTCTGGGTTTGATGGTGTTTTGAAGGTGGACGTTGTGGGGTTTGTTAGAGTACTCAAAGAGTAAAGGAAATACCACATTGGTGGGAGAAGGAAAGTGCAAGTTGTTTTTAAGTTTGCCTTCCACTTTAGTTATTGGATAAAGTGGTTAGTGGGCTTTTGGAAAAAGTATGGGCTCTTTAGTTTGACATATTAAATCGAACTACGCACTTAGCACTTTGCACGTTTGCGCGACGCGTTCGGAAATTGACTTTTTGGCTATTTAATTAATTGGATTTAAGTTTTGTGAAACGACGCAACCCTTGAGAAGGGAACTGCCGTTTTCTCAAATCTTATAAGAGACGTTGGCCAGAAGGTTGAGTTCTAACGTTCATCTTCTTCTCCTTGTTTTTCCTTCTCCAAAAACACAAACACAGAAGTCAGAAAGGTTGCTGCTTTCGGACTTTGGTTGAAGGGACTCCTGGGGGTGGTTTGCCTAATTCCTACCAGCAACGAAGTAGTGGGGGAAAATAACACACTAAGGAGAGTGATCAAATCACGCCTTCAATCCGTTTCTCCATACTGTTTCCCTGACAATCTTAGAGTGTTATTTAGTGTGACAATGGATTCTGGAGTGGAGAGCACTTTGAAGGCGTATGCCTCTGATTCCAACAAACTCAATCGGTTTGATGGAACCAATTTCACCCGCTGGCAAGAGAAGATGAAGTTTCTGTTGACTGCTTTGAAGATCGTGTACATACTGGATCCTGATTTGGTGCCGCTAGAAGAACCACAAGACATTGACTCTGATGAATTGAAGGCTGAGCGCAAGAAGAGGAGTGATGACAGCCTGCTGTGCCGAGGATACATCCTCAATTCACTCTCTGATCGTCTCTACGATCTGTATTCCCAGTTGGCGACCCCTACTGAGATTTGAACATCTTTGGAGAACCAGTACAAATCAGAGAAACAAGGCGCAGATAAGTTTGTTACATTCCAGTTCTTTGAATTTAGCATGACTGATAAGCGTTCAATTCTGGATCAAGTTCATGAATTCCTAATCTTGGCCTCTAAGTTCACTGCGTTAAAGATAACTCTTCCTGATGCGTTTCTGGTGGGGGCAATTATTGCGAAGTTGCCTCCATCATGGAACAACTATAGGAGAAAATTACTTCATACGTCAGAGGAGTTCACTTTGGAGCAAATTCAGAAGCACCTTAGGATCGAGGAGGAAACTCGTATCCGTGACAAGGATCTGAATTCGGAGGCACCATCAAGTTCAAAAGTGAATGTTGTGGAGAGCAAGAAGGGAAAGAAGAGAAAGGCCATGAATAATTCCAACAACCAGACCAACAACCAGAAGAATAAAAAGAAAAAGCCGTCCCATATGTCCACTAAGAATTGTTTCAATTGTGGGCAATTGGGACATATTGTTCGCTTCTGTCCTAATCCAAAGAAGAACCAGAACGAAGGGGATGCAAGTGCAAATGGGATTGAGAAAGTTGAGCCTAGTGAGATTGTTGCAATGATTTCTGACTTACATGTGAGTATGATTCAGGAATTGCACATGGCTGGAGTCATGACCAGTGCTGATTGGTGGTATGATTCGGGGGCAACTGCTCACATTTGCAACAAGAGAGCCATGTTCAAGGACTACACAGAGTCAACGGAGGGACACGAGGTTCTGTTGGGTGATCATCGCACGATCAAGGTTCTTGGATCTGGAACCGTGGAGCTTTTCTTCACTTCGGAAAAGAAAGTTGTTCTCACCAATGTCCTTCACGTTCCTGATGTTAGAAAGAACTTGGTTTCTGGTTTCATGCTTTGTAAGAAGGGGATAAAGGTTGTGATAGAATCTGATAGGGTGATTCTGACCAAGGCTGGTATGTTTGTTGGGAAGGGCTATGTTAGTGATGGTATGTTTAAGCTAAGTATTGACAATGGTAATATTAATAATAAAGTTGATGGTTCTGCTTATATCGATGTGCATGCAAATTATAGTATAGAAAGTAATTCATTTGATTTATGGTATAATCGATTGGGGCATGTTAACTTTAAAACTCAGAAATATATGTCTAGGAATGGTTTAGTAATTTGTGGTGATGACAGTGGAGATAAATGTGAAATCTGTGTGCAAGCTAAGATGAAGAGAAAGCCATTTCCTAAGTTAGTTGACAGAAAATCAGAATTGTTGGAATTAGTACATTCTGATATTTGTGAATTTCATGGTCAATTAACTAGAGGAGGATGTAGGTACTTCATTACTTTCATTGATGATAGTACTCGATTTACCTATGTCTATTTAATGCGAACCAAGGATGAAGCCTTTGATAAGTTTAAGTTGTATAAATCTGTTGTTGAAACTCAAAAAGGTAGGAAAATACAGATCCTTCGAAGTGACAGAGGTGGAGAGTATTTTCCAAATAACTTTAACGAGTTTTGTGAGCAACATGGTATAATACATCAAAGGACTGCTCCTTACACCCCACAACAGAATGGAGTAGCAGAGAGAAAAAATGGAGTTCTTTCTGACATGATTAATGCTATGTTGATGAATGCTAGTGCTCCAAACAATTTATGGGGTGAGGCTTTGCTAACAGCCTGTCATGTACACAATAGGATTCCGTCTAAGAAGCTAAGGGAATCCCCCTATGAGTTGTGGAAGGGAAGGAAACCGAACTTGAGTTATCTTAGAGTTTGGGGCTGTCTTGCTTTCTACAGAGTCCCAGATCCTAAGAGAACTAAGTTAGGACCACGAGCTTTGAAAGGTGTTTTTCTTGGATATGCAGAAAACTCAAAAGCCTATAGAGTTCTAGATTTAGAATCTAATGTGGTTGTGGAATCGAGAGATGTTGAGTTCTTTGAGAACAAGTTTCGACGTGACTCTGCAAATGTAGAACCATGTCGAGTTACTTCTGTAGATTCCTCAAATGAGTCTATCTCTGCTCCCGCTTTTGACATTGGTTCTAGTAGCAAAAGGCCTTTAGATAACTCTGCTGCTAATGAACCACGAAGAAGTCAAAGGGCTCGAAAGGAAAAGAGTTTTGGTCCAGAATTTATTGATCCTCAAGATATAATCTTTCTTGTAGAGGGAGATAGGTTAAATAAGGTTACAAGAAAGATACCCATTTTGTTCCATGTGCAAGACGATCCCAAAACCTATCAAGAAGCAATGGCTTCTAGAGATTCTGCCTTTTGGAATGAGGCTGTTAATGACGAGATGGCTTCGTTATTAATAAATAAGACTTGGGTTCTTGTGGATTTGCCTCCTGGATGTAAGGCTATTGGATGCAAATGGGTATTTCGCATTAAGTATAACACGGATGAATCAATACATACCTTCAAAGCTAGATTGGTGGCAAAAGGGTTTAGGCAAAAAGAAGGAGTAGATTGCTTCGACACCTATGCACCAGTTGCAAGAATTACTTCCATAAGAGTGCTTTTAGCTTTGGCTTCTATTTACAATTTGCATGTACACCAAATGGATGTAAAGACGGCATTCTTAAATGGTGAGTTAGATGAAGAAGTGTATATGGAGCAACCAGAAGGGTTCGTGTTGCCTGGAAATGAAGGAAAGGTGTGTAAATTGCAAAAGTCATTGTATGGACTTAAGCAAGCACCTAAACAATGGCATGAGAAGTTTGATTCTGTTGTCTTGGCTCATGGATTTTCACACAACTCTGCTGATAAGTGCATTTATTCAAAGTGCACAAAAGAGTATATGGTCATTATATGCCTTTATGTTGATGATATGTTAATAATAGGAACGAACATGAAAGGTATAAATGAGACCAAAGAGTATCTAACTTCCTGCTTCGAAATGAAAGATCTTGGAGAAGTAGATACTATATTGGGCATCAAAGTAAAGAAACATAGTGGGGGTTTTGCTTTGAGTCAGTCACATTATGTCGAGAAGATGCTCAAGAAATTCGAGCATTTGGATATAAAGGAGGCTAACACCCCTTATGATGCATCT